AGAACAGGCAGATCCATGAAGTACACTGCTGAGGGGAGCAGTGGGCGGGTCAGGAGAGGTCTGCCACGCCATGTGGTCACCTCCTGGGCAGGGGATCGAACTCATGCGGAAGTGGCTTTAGCTTCTTAGTGCTGTGCTTTATCCCGCTGTGCCACCAGGGAGGGCCCTGGACTCCAGTTTTAAGAAGTCTACTCTGAGAAGGTGTCTTCTCAAAATTCCACCACGGCAGTGAAACCTTTTTCTAAATAACAAAAACAAACAAAGCATTCTGTATGCTGCTGCTGCCCTTCTCACTAGGATCAGAGCTTAGCATCACACTCTCTTAGCACTTGATAGAATCTAAATTACTTTTACACTCCTTTCCTCATCTAAGCTCCACAACTCCCAGAGGTGGGTGTCAGCGGGCAGATTAGCGAGTTGAGGCTAAAAGAGACAGCAACCTGTTTGCAGATACCAAGACAGAGAATGAAAAGTTGACTTTTGCCTAGTACTAATCAAACCCAACTCTTCCGACTCGAGCCCAGGGCTTCTTCTTCAATACCTGTGTCCCTGCCCACCTAGCTGAAATCAGGGTCCTCAGGTAGGGGAGGACCCCGTTCCATCGAAGTCTCAGCTAGCCACAGTCATCAAAAGACCCTTCTTCCCCCGCTAGAGAGTCCGAGCCACTGGAAGTGGCACCCGAGAGCCGTCGCGGGCCGGGGGCTGGGCGAGGTCGCTCAGCCCACGGCAGAGCTTGGGGGCCGCTCCGCGCGTTCCAGCTGCCGGGCGGGTGGGTGGGGCTGGAGCGCCGGAATCCCAGCCCCGCCTCCCCCCACCCCTTCCTCCCTTGCCTGTTTAGAGCCGGGCGCACCCGTGGGCCGGCACCCGCGGGACTGAACCACCTCGTTTCGACCATCTCTGGGTGGAGCGTCGTGGAAGAGCGAGGCGGGCGCAGAAGCGGGGTACCCGCGAGCCCCTGAGACCCGTCCCCTCCGCGCGGGGGGGGGGCACCGAGCTGCGCCTCGCCGGGATCCCGGGGGCAGAGCTGGGCGTGCTGCCCAGCGCGCCGCAGCTTCCAAGCCCCTCAGCCCGCGGTTAGGACCGTGGCGAGATGTCTGCGCGGCTCTACCTCCTGAGGCGCAGCCTGCTGCTGTTGCTGCTTCTGTGGGGCGGCCAGGACGCCCAGCTTGCGGGACGCGTGGGCCAGGAGCTGCGCAGGGAGGCGGAGGTACGTCATGGGGGGAGGAAAGGGGTCCGCCTGAGATCCCGCAGAACTCTGCAGTTAGGTCTCCCAGACGTCCCACCTGCGCTAACGCTCTGTTACCCAACTCGGGTCCTTCATACATCAACCTTGCGCACGAATACGGGACAGCATTCTTTGCCGTGGGACCTCACAAGCACGCGGGTCTGCGTTCATTGATGGGGGAGGACGTAGTAGGTGGGAGGGGAAAGAGTGACAAAATGGGATAGAAAAATAAGAACTGAAAGTGAGGGAACCCCTGCACCCCAACTTAGCAGGAAAACGTTGTCCCTTGATGCCCGGGCTGGAAAGACGTGACAGCTCATTTACTGGATGCCCGGCATCCTCCAGAAGGTAGTGGACTGGCCCTGGACTCAAGAGACAGCACTGGTTTTCTGGACTGCTGCTATGGCTGACCAGCTCAGACAAGTTAGTGCCCCATTTCAGAACTAGCTTCTTCATTGTAAAATGGTAATATCCATTGTATGGTAAAATGCTAAGAGTTACTTCTAGGGAGTTTAAATTTCCTAGAACCTAGTACTCAAGGACTGAATTTGAGAAAGGAGGCAGGGAGGTAGAGATCATTTCATATTCCTCCTTTGGAATCAACTGCTGTGGCTTGCACAAAGCATAAGGATCCACTTGGGGTATCTATTTTCTAGACAAAGGTAATTGTAATAATATGTTGGTATTATTTCTTTCCCCCCTGCTCCCCAGAGCATCTCTGTGTTTCTTTTTCTTTTTTAAAGATTTGTTTATCTATGCCTACAAGAACTGGGGTACAGGCCAGAGATGCAGGGGTGGTGGTGAGAGAATTCACCAGAGACAGAGTCCGGAGCAGAACAGGAAGATTGATGAATACACCGCTGAGGGGAGCAGTGGGTGGGTCAGGAGAGGTCTGCCACGCCATAGGGGTCACCTCCCTGGCCAGGTATCAAGCTCATGCTGCAGTGACTGCAGATAGCTTCATAGTGCTATACTCAAACTCTTGGACCACCAGGGAGGCCCATCTCTGTGTTCTTATAAGACAAGATAGGAATAAGTTATAACTTACTAAGTTCAACCTGGATACTCTTGCTCCCCTTCCTGCTTTGAAACTGCCAGGTGAGAACTCAGTCTCCCCTTCCTGCCTAGGAAAGGTATTTTGCTGTAGAACAAGGAGCTCACACTCTGAATCCCTCTTCCTTCCGCAGCCTGCTCCTCTCACGGCTCTGGAATATCTGGAAATGCTCTCAAACTCCTTCACTCCTTTCCCTTCCAGGCCTAGTCTTTTGCTCTGTGCTCCCTGCTTTTGGACATTAGGGAATCACTTTGTTCCTCTGAATTTTGTGTTTTACAACATCAAGTGGAGAGTTCTCATGGTCCCAGGAGAAGGCTTCTGTCTACCAAGCCAAGTCTAGTTCAGAGACCTACCCACCTCCCCCCAGAGCCCAAGTCCCCGGCAACCCTCGGCAGGAGAACACAGACTATCTCTGCCTCCCATGCCTGTGGTGGCCCCAGATGGAGAGAATTTCATCTTGGGGTATGCTTGGGAAATGTAATATCTAGCAGATTGAGTGTCTTCCAGTTTATTTAGCATGAATGGAGGAAGGAGATTTTAACTCTGAGGATAAAAAACATTTAAAAATCTCTGGAAATATGTAATGAATGTGTATGTATCTCTGTATACCTGTGCGTATGTGTGTTTCAGTGTGTCTAAATGTGTTTCTGTATCTGGTAAATTGTATGTAATTTCATATTAGACAGAACGGTGTGCAAACCATGAGTGAATTATTTTGCTTTCATGCATCTCAGTCATCATTTCTGTACAGTGAGGGTTAATCTTATCTATTTCATAAATTCATTATGTGGTTTCATTGACACAATGTATGTAAAATGCTCAGCACAGCACCTAGTACAGAGGAGGCAGTCAGGAGAAAGAAGTTGTTCTCAGTGTTGTAGTTATTCTTATCTTTACTGTTATTTTAGAGATTAAAATCCTGGCTGATGACTAGCTCTTCTACAATAATAAAACAAGACAAAATATGTAAAGCAGCTATTTTCAGCATTGGATGACAGGCACCACAAGGCTGTAATTCCTAAGAGATGGTCTTGCAGTTACTATGGCTACATTACAAATTGCTCCAAAACTAAGTGAAGTAAAATACCCATTTATAAGGTCCATGGATATTGTGGGTCAGAATTTTAAACAAGTGCATCAAGGCAGCCTGTCTTCCCTCTACACTGAGCTTGAAATGGTCTGAAGGCTGTTTATTCAGCAGCTGATGGCTGGCAGCCTGGGGCCCAGGTCTTCTCCCTGCACTCCTGTACACACTGTGTTCAGTATGGGCGTGTTTCAGCTGCCTCACAGCATGGTGGCTGGATCTCAAGGATGAAAATTCTAAAAGGGAGAGAAGCAGAAGCTGTGTCCATGTTATGACCTAGACTCCCATAGGCTGGAGCATCACAGCCCCCACCCCTTTTCAAGGGGAGGGAACACAGACCCCACAATCAATGGAAGAGTGTTGAGGAAGAGTACAAGAAGGACAAGCCAACTGGAAATATAGTTGCGGTCAGCTAGGGAAGGACAGTCACCCACAGAGGGCACCTCACAAAATGCTTCCCATGATGTCCCTAGTTCTTTGCTCAGGTATATTCCCTGACTGCAGCAACCTGCCTCCCCTCAACCCCAGTAGCACAGCACTCTGCTGAGCTGATGAGCAAAGGCCAGAGTTCAGGACACAGAAGAGAAGAAATAAGAAAAGCAAGTTGTGTGATCTCGGGCTACTCCTTTCACTTCTCCAGCTGTGGTTTCCTCCTCTGTAAAATAAGGGTATTTCATTTCTCAAAAGATTGAAAATCCTCGCTAGCACTAATATTCTTTGGCTTTGACATGTTGTATGCTCACATCTGTCTACATGTGCATGCCTGTACATTTCATCTGCCTGTGAATCCAGGCTATCTGGTTGTCCCCCATGTGCACACAAAAGAATGAAGTTGAAGAATGTCCAGAGTGGGGTTTTTCCTGGGAGGGGACTGCTTACAAAAGCTGCATTATGAACAAGTTCATTGTTGCTCACTAGGAAAACGAGGGCTGTTCTCCACACTAGTTGGAGGATAAGCCCCCACTGCTGAGTTGCAAGGTTGGGAGAACAAATGATGTCATCACCCTGGCCCCCTTTCCATTCTCAGCCAGGCCCTCTCCTGGTCGTGGGCAACACGGGCTGTCCCAGAGGACCTGTCTACTGTGCTTTGCTTGGGCTTTCTTTAGAACAATCAGACAGTATGTCCAGGACCTGCCTTCCTCTGGGGTGGCCCATACATACATACATGGCTTCTCCTGGTGTGCCAGGCCAACAGGGAGCTGGGTTGTTTCTCCAGGGAAACATGGGAGCTTCTGTGGTGTTTCCACCCCCAGCTGCACAGTCTGCTTCTCATACCCCAGAGCCATTCATTTGACTTTTTGTGAGTCAGAAGCCTAAAAGCCAGGGTGTGGAAGCTGTTCCCAAGGACTCAGCACAGTGACTCATGTGGACGGGGTGAACAGAAGCACAGAAAAGACTCTCAGGGATCACAATATGGTGACAGTTGAGAACCAAGACAGCTAGCAAAAGCTGGGCAGTGAAGATAGGAACACAACAGAGAAAGACAGACAGCTCTCCTCACACCCCAAACCTGGTTAGGGCACTATTGTGTGTCCACCTGCTCGGCACAGACCAGGGCACCTGCAGGAAGCTGTTTGGAACTATGGAAAGAAGTCTCTGGATAGAGGCTGGCCAGATAAGTTCCTCCAGCTTTCTTAAGAACAGAATATTTCAAAAATGGGTGTTACAACAAGAGGTTTCTAGGTTACCCAGCCAGAACTTTGTAAATATGAAAATGGGGGAAGGGGAAAAGAGATGGGGAAGAGTGGGAAGGGGGTAGAAGGGAGGGAGAAACCTTAGTGACTGGGCCCTGTGGAAAGTCTACCACTGCCCGCTCCCTCCCCCTGCTCTGCCCCTGGGCTGTTCAGAGGGGACAGGAGAATCCAGCTGGGAACTCTCCCAGTTTTTCTTTTTTTTCTTATTTGAAGACTATATCCTCAGGAGAGAGAATTCAAACTCACTTGTTTGAGTATGAAGAAAACATGCTGGAATAGGGGTCAGAGGATTCATACTTGATTATTGGCTCTGTTGCTCACTAGGCCCCGTTAGCAAGACACTGCCACCCCGATCTTGACAACAGGGACGACAACTTCTGTCCCACCTATGCGCCTACATGGAGCAGAGGGGACCCCTTAAAAAGTCTGGAATGGCCAAGGACTCCCTGAGCTCCCCATGACATAAAAACATTTTAATGTCTAGAACATGCCAAAGCAGAATGCCAGCTATCACCACTTGAATCTCGACTTGGATAATAACACTAAAAATGTTTTAGTGACAAACACAATCACAGAGACTGTAATGAAACAGAAAATGAGATGGAATAAATGATGATAAATCATGGTTTCTGTGTGAGCTTGCTATGTTTGCAATGTTTTAATTCATGGTTTCATTTTTGCTGCAATTCTTTGATGTGGGAAATGTGACAGCTGCTTTAGGAACATGAGATTAGGAGCTGACCCTCCTAGGAGATCTGCAATAAAGCACTGACTATTGATGGGACAACCGTCCTGAAGCTTTACTGTATTTTCACAATGTGCATGTGAGAAACATAAAGCAGTATTCTTACCCCCCAAGTTTTGGGGGGCATATATGCTTTGGGGCACAGAGAGGTTAAGTCAATTTGTCATTGTTTGCACAACTAATCAGTTGTAGAAACAAGGCTGCAATAATAGAAGGAGCTGGAATACAGCCAAGCCCCTGATATTATAGAAGAGGAAATTGAGGCCCAAAGAGGCCCAGGACACAATAGCAGCAGGAATACAATTCGAGACTCAGTCCACTGTGCTTGCCCGGCCAGTGACTCAGAGTTCTTGTCTCAGGCTGGATTTATTTTGCTCCACCTCATTGCTAGTCTTGCCCTGTTCA